CTAATCAAAAGTAATTCTAAAATCCATCTTTCTTAGATTAATTTCCCAAGTGCCTTCTAATTTCAAATTACTCGCAGTTGAGTAACATTTTTCAAACACAGCCATGTCAGAAGAACCATTTTCATCTTCTTAGTCACAACATATCTCAAAAATTCTAACACATACTTATCAGGAAAAAAATTACAAACACCACTGATGAAAATGTATAGCTGCAAACACGAGGACACGTAGACTGTACATCAGCCGCCGCAGCGCACACAAAATAACTATAATATATATGAAGTCCAAAGTCTAAATAATATAACAAAGTCTATTTAATGATCAGTGGCATCCTCTTCACTTGATTTAAACACATCACGCTTGCTCTGCTGCATACAAACAAGCAAACACATACGCACACATGCATACACACACACCAACACACACACGTATCCCTACCACTCCCTGTCCCTCACCCCACGCACACATATGCACACGTACACATTTACACATGCACACTCAATCTATACACACACACACACACACACACACACACACCACACACACACACACACACACACACACACATGCACACGCACGCACGCACACAACACACACACACACACACAACAACAATTGCAACATCAACAACCCCACACACGTTCCAACCCCTCCCTCCCCCTCCCTCCCCCGCCCGCGTTCCCCAAGTAAGGAAGAACGAATCCATCGCGGAACAGATTCCTCCTTCGCGTCTGGGGTCTAAGGACCGTCTTCACCGCTGAATTATCACGTGTAAACAGCGAGTACCATCCAGTACCTGAGGAGCAAGAGGCACCGAGCGAGGCATCGAACAACAAACCTACGAATTCCATTCTCGCCAACTTGCGAGGTCAGATTTTTTTTTTTTTTTTTTTTTTTTTTTTTCTTTCAAAGATGTCTTTCAAAAAACGCTTCTCCCTCCTTTCCCCTTAAACCCTCCCCCCTCCCCATGGCATATGACTTTCCCAAACCGCATGAACTGAAATACCGCACGGGGTTCGCTCTAACGGGGTCAAGGGCAATGCGGTAGCGAAGTCTGGCGCATTAACTCTCCCATGATCTACTGGGACCAAACCCGCTCGTTGGTGCTTTGATAATTGAGCATTATGTTTCGTAATTACATGCTCCTTCTGTCTACAGAGATCATCCCAGACGGCCTGGTCTCCCCCACCCCCTCTACCCCTCTACCCCCTCCTGGCACGCGGTTCACATGGCCCTTAATAACACAGAAGTCAAGGCAGACTAACGACCCAATCATCCCCGTCGGAGCGTAGCACTGTCCTACCCCCGCTCGGCCATGGTACGGGTAACACAGGCATCAATGTAAACACACAGAGCCTCTCATTACGTATAACAAACCTTACCTAACGCACAAAAAAAGATTTAAAAAAAGGTCGATTTCCCCACCCGCGGCTGTTGATATAAAAATGATATCTGATACTGAAACTACATGATATTACAGCCACCAGAGAGATAGCATGTTATGTACTCTGATATCAGGAGATCGGCGACGATAACGGAAACGTATAATAGATGTTGAATTGTGACACAAAGCGGTCATTGCGCTGGGATTGCAGGAATGTGTGTGTGTGTGTGTGTGTGTGTGTGTGTGTGTGTGTGTGTGTGTGTGTGTGTGTGTGTGTGTGTGTGTGTGTGTGTGTGGTGTGTGAGTGAGAGAGAGAGAGAGAGAGAGAGAGAGAGAGAGAGAGAGAGAGAGAGAGAGAGAGAGAGAGAGAGAGAGAGAGAGAGAGGGGGGGGAGAGGGAGAGAGGCGAGTGTGTGAGAACAGACAGAGAGGGGGGGGGGGGGAGAGCGAGTGAGAAACAGAGATATAGAGCGAGAGAGAGAGATAGATAGAGAAGAAACACACACCACACACACACATACAGAGAGGGAGAGAGCGTGTGAGAAACACAGAGAGAGAGAATGACAGACTAAGAGACAAAAAACAGTTAAAACCATTAGACAGAAACCGAGAAAGAGAACAGAGAGACTCGACGAAGAGAAAAGAGCGAGCAAAGACAAGAGAGAAGATAAGAGACAGCAAGAAGCAAAACCAAACGCTCAGTGCTTGAGGGAGAGCGACGCGAGAACCACCATTAAAAGAGAAGACCAAGAACCCAAGAACCGCCATTCAAAACAAAAAAAAAAACTCTAAACCCTGTGATCCATTTCGACGTCCAATTTACGGACTTCAATCATATTTCCCGCCGCGACTTCATTCTCCAAGGGCGTCATTAGGGCGGAATACACACGAAGCGCCCGACGCAAAGTGGGCGTGTTGCTTCGGCTGACAGCTCGGCTGAAGCCGCCATTTTACAAACTAAAATTGGATGAAAAAAGATGATAATAAATCAAAGAAAAAACGCGTCGGTAAAAAGAAAAAAAAAAAACTTTGCAGGAAACATAAACAACAACAAAAAATCGCTAGTCGGTGATAATTTTCATTCATTTACCAGAAAACCGTCAATGCACGAATGAATAAAACCAATATATAATTTCATGTTCTTCCACTGGAGGAAATTCGATTTAATTAAGCTATCATTTCACACTCCTAAAAAAATAAACGCAAAAAAAAACAAAAAGTGAACCAACAGCAAATAGATTAATCAATAAAAAAACAGAAATGGATAATAATAAAAAAGTAAACAAACAGATTAATAAAATAATCTATTTAACGTTCTTTCCCTGAACAAACAAAGCCAAGCGACCCGGTCCATGAACTCGGCGCGGAACAACTTCTTCGTCCTCTTTCTCCTTCTTCTGATTATTATTATTATCATTATTTTCTCCTCCTCCTCCTCCCCCTCTTGTTCTTCTAATGATTATTTTTATCTTATATTTCATTCTCTTCCTTCTTCTTCCTTTTTTTCTTCGTGTCCTTCTTTTTCTTCTTCTTCTTCTTCTTCATTTTCTTCTTATTCTCCTTCTCCTCCTTCATGTTCTTATTCTTGTTCTTGTTTTCTTATCTTTCTACTTTCTTCTCCTCTCTTCTCTGAGATTGCTTTCCCCATAATTCCTTGCCAAATAAGGTAAGACGGGGGAATGGCAGAAGGAGGATGAGGACGAGGAGGAAGGAGGAGGAAGATGGAGGAGGAGGAGGAGGGAGGAGGAGGAGGAAGGAGGAGGAAAGGGGAGGGAGGAGGAAGAGGAAGAGGAGGAAGAGGAGGAGGAGGGGAGGAGGGAGGAGGAGGAGGAAGAGGAAGACAAGAAGAGGAAGGAGAAAGAGGACGACGACAACGACGACTAACCCAAAGAAGACGAAGAGCCACAAAACGACTACCGGTGGGGAAGAAAAGAAGAGCGAGACACTCATTCAATACCCTCCCCCGCATCCCTCAGCGCCTATCCCTCCCCCCTCTCCCCTCCCAACCAACCCCACCAACCCCATCCCTCACGCCTATCCCTCCCCCTCCCAACCAACCCCATCCCTCGGCGCCTACTCCTCCACGCAGCAGACCCGTCGCGTCGCGCACATCCTCCCCCTTCGGCGCCGCGAATGACACTGAACAGACTTCCGGAATATTTTAAAGTCGCTTCATCGGGGGGCCAATAACTCACCGACCGCGGGATCCGTGCGCCCCTCCCTCGGGTTAATTCCACGGTGGGCCGAGCGGGGGGGGGGGGGGGGGGTTCAATTCCATTTTTGCGGTCGGGATTGATGCGTCCGGTGCTTAGGAAGGTTCGATGAAGCTGGAGGGAGTCTGAGGGAGGGAGGGAGGAAGAAGAATGAGGAGGGAGGAGAAGGGAATGGAAGAGAGGAAGGGCTTAAGGAAGGAGGGAGGGAGGGAAGAGAAGGAAGGAAGGAAGGGCAGAAAAGGAAGGGCTTAAGGAGGGAGAAAGGGAGGGAGGAAGGAAGGAAGGGCTAAGGAGGGAGGAAGGAAGAGGGAGAGAAGGGTGGTGTTAGGGAGGAAGTGATGGGTAGGGGTTGTATGTTGAGGAGGGGGCAAGGGGGGAAAAAGAGGGAGGGAGGGAAGAGGGAGATAGGAGCGGAGGGATGGAGGGAAAGGTGGTGGGCTGGGGAGGGGGAGGGGGGAATGAGGATGAGAGGTATGTGTGTTTACTTGTGTGTCTTTATTTGTGTGTGCGTGTGTGTGTGTAAGAGCCCAAATGTTGGGTCCTACAAGAGTTGGTAGGTGGCGAGCAAGGGGTTTAAGGTAGACAACCAATATGTCTTGACTCCTTTACTGAATAAGATGTTTGAGTGCGGCAGCTCCTCGGAGAGCGCTCCTTGGCTTCCCGCAGGGAGTCTGCCTGATCTCCTGTACAGTGGTCTAAAGATCGTATCAAGTCACGTGGTTAGCATGTGACGAACGGTGATGAACAAGCAAGCGTTACATCAGCACATAGCTCTTGTGGAAGAGATAGACAACACGGCATTGGAATGTCTGGTGTGGCAATAAGAGAGGAATAAACAGGGGAAGCAATGGTCAGGCGTATATGCATATGTATATGTATGTGTGAAGATACGTATGTGACAAACATGTAAGATTATATATATATGTGTGTATTATATAGTAATTAGACATAGATATAGCTGGATTACAGTGTGTGTGCGTGTGTGTGTGTGTGTGTGTGTGTGTGTGTGTGTGTGTGTGTGTGTTGTGTGTGTATGTGTTTACGCATGCGCGTGCGCGTGTGTATTTGTGTGTGTGTGTTTGTGTCCCTGTGTACGGCTTTGCACGCGAGGTAGCACAACATATACTCACCAACTGCAGTGTCCCATCCCCTGCACCTTTAACAGATTTACCTGTCTTCTCTAAAAATGTTATAGAGTTTGAATATTCCAGTGACCGTTTTATTTCAAACGAACACTATTTGATTACAGCCAGGGAGAGGGAGGAGAGAGAGAGAGAGAGAGAGAGAGAGAGAGAGAGGAGAGAGAGAGAGAGAAGAGAGAGAGAGAGAGAGAAGAGAGAGAGAGAGAGAGAGAGAGAGAGAGAGGAGAGAGAGAGAGAGAGAGAGAGAGAGAGAGAGAGAGAGAGAGAGAGAGGCAAGGATAAAAAGAAAGAGAAAGATAGAGAGCGAGACAAACAGACACATCAAATACAGAGAGAAAAACAAAAAAAAGAAGGCAAGAGAAAGAGACGAACACCAAGACAAGAGCACACATCACCCGCGTTGAAACAAAGCCCCTCCCCCCCCCCCCTTCTACCCCGTGTTTCTCCCGGCCGGAAGTAAGCTTAATTTGCATACAGAGCAGGCTAGTGTCCGAGCGCTGTCAAACCCGCCGTTCGCGAAGCCATTTTATCGCTGGCGCTCGCTACGTGCACGAGCTAAACTTTGACGTCTTCATAAGCTATAATTACCGGCCGGCGAGCTATGGGACGCCAGGAGGAACCGTATCAGCTGATTTTTATCTCCCGGGAGGATGTGAGGTAAGGCGACGGGAGGGTAGGGGAAGAGACGCCGGGGGGCGGTGTTTGCGTGTGTTTGTTTGTTTGTTTGCTTGCTTCCCAGACTGCGTGTAGAGGTATGCCTTCTCCCCCCCCCAAAAAAAAAAAAAAAAAAATTATATATATATATAATTTGTAAATAATAACGATAATAACAATAATATTGATAATAGCAATGATGACAATAATAGTACAGAAGATAAAACGAATGAAACTAATAATAATAATAATAATAATAATAATAATAATAATAATAATAGTAGTAGTAGGAGTAGTAGTAGTAGTAGTAGTAATAGTAATCATAATAATAGTAATAATAATAACAACAATAATAATAATAACAATAACAACAATAACGACAACAATAATAACAACAACACCAATAATAATGATAATGATAATCGTTGATTGGCTTTTTAATTTCTCAAACTTCTGTTCCATGAACTACCATGTTCCATGAACTACCATGAATTGTAACCTTTCATGGCCCTAGTTACAGCCTCCCTTTGGCCAAACCGCCGCTACCTGTTCAATGCATACTAAATAAATCCAAGGTTGTTATCTACATATTTGAGAACACTTGTAAATAGACCCAATGCCATGGCTTCGATCTATTAGCATATGCATAGGCCTATACCATATACTGGTAACCTAAAATGGGCTCTATTTAGCATAACCAGTTTTCTTGTAATAAAGCTTTATTATCTGAGCTTTATCTTAGTGGTTGATCAAGGCTTGTATATTTTTTCATCTTTGCAAAACCTATGGGATCTAGATCGTATGAGAGAAAAAAAATGTAGAAATAACTTTTAACTAACCTAACTTTGATAAGATTCTTTCACGAGCTATTAATGTAATGTATTCTCCGAATATATTACCATATTCTGCGCCTCTCTCTATCCTCCTTCCCCTTCTCTCTCTCTCCTCCTTCCCCTCCCACTTTCTCCTCCTTCTTCCCCTCCTACTTTCTCCTCCTCCTTCCACTCCCTCTCATTCCTCCTCCCCCTCCCTCTCTCCCCTCCTCCCCGTTTCTCCCATTCCTTCTACTTCCCCTTCCTCTCTCTCCTCCTCCCCCTACCACTCTCTACTCCTCCCCTTCCCTTTCTTCTTCTTCTTCTCCCCTCTTCCCTCTCTCTCCCCCTCCGCCTCCCTCTTTTCCCCCTCCTCCTCTCTCTCTCCCCCTCCTCCTCCTCTCTCACCTCCTCCCTACCATCTCTCTCCTGTTCCTCCTCCTCCTCCTCCACCCATCCTCCTCCTCTCTCCTCCCCCACCTCCCACTCTCTTCTCCTCCCTCCACCCATCCTCCTCCCTCTCTCCTCCCCCACCTCCCACTCTCTCTCCTCTCTCCCCTCCTCCTCCTCCTCCTCCCACTCTCCTCTCTCCTCCTCCTATCACTCTCTCTCCTCCTACTCCCCCTCTCTCTCCTCCTCCCCCTCCCTCCTACCACTGCAATGTTGCTACTCTTACTCGCTTCCTCCGTTACCATTATATCAAGGGCCGTGTTCTCGAGGCCCTGCTCAATGTGCACCCGCTCTCCTATCAAGATCAACACACACACACGCCCATTGCAGTCTGGGCTAATGGCTACTGTGCAAATGCAATGCAACCCGCGTATCAATGCTTATACAATTTTCGATCCTGTGTTTTCATTGTGATGCTTCTTTGTCTATTGTTATCCTAATCATAACAGCTGGAGCTAATGCATTTATTATTTACTACATCTCATTTTTTTCAATGAATCTATGAAGTCTTCATCGAAGTTTTTGTTTGTCTCTACTACATATATCCAGATAAAAGAATATATAATGAATACACGCATGTAAATCCAATTACGACGAACTATTGAAGACATTTCGTTTCAGCAACAGACCTTTCTCAGAGACAAAAAGTCCCATTAGAAGAACTTGGAGTCTTATCGAAAGCTTAATAAACGTGTAACAGGTGGAATCGGATCAAAGGTCTATCTCAATGATACGGACTGATAACGCTTATCTTAAGTGTCCGTAATAGTGTACCTCTTGAAAGGGGATGTTCAACTCTGATTGATTTATAAGTGCATACACTCTATAGGTAGATAAGTTACCCATGTCGACCTACTCCTATATAAAGTGTATATTATCACGTTCACTTAAATACCATTATCATGTTCGACACCACGAACTCTCATCAATATTATTATACCAATTTGGCAATTTTAGAATTATACACCTCGATCACTCTATAAACAAGTGATCACTACCGCCATTTTCCCATCAAAAGCATCATCACTTGAAATTCTAACCACACGCTACAAGCGAAAGTACACCTCTTAGCCCTTCACTGCATCTGCAGAATACCGGGTTAGTGAACGGCGAGCAGGAGCGGCTGAAGGGCGAGCGTCGAGGGGGCGCTGGCGTTTGCTATTAAGCAGCATGAAGATGACAACATTACCCGATTTTTAAAAATTATTCTGCCTCATTTTGAGTCTTGTTCTCCTGTGTGTGTTTTTTATTTCCAGAGTCACTCTTATGGACAGCTTGATCGTTCTTTGAACTCCATTAAATTTCTCCTGCCTGACTTAGACTTGGACATTGGGCATCATAGGGATATCGGGACTCTTTCAGTCTTATACAAGATTGTAACCGATAATTCACATCCCATCAGTTTTTACCTGATTTTTATCAACCTGCAAGTTAATAGAAGTTCTATAGCCCCTAATTCTATGACATTTGATGTAAGACGATCGTCTGCAGCTCAGTTTTCTATATGCTTTTTTACTGTTACTTGTAGGCTTTGAGATACACTGCCTTTAGACATTGCAACTTCTCCTACTCTTCGTAAGTTTAAGAGTTCACTAAATTGTTTTTACTCCGTAAATAGCAGGTTGTCTCTCTTCTTTTTCTTTCTTAGCTGTGTTCTGACCTGGTGGTATTATTCTCGAATTTTCCAGTGCGGCTCTTTATTTGGCTTAACATACTACTACTACTACTACTACTACTAATAATAATAATAATAATAATAACAATAATAATAATATCATGAACCTGGCAGTTTCAAGGCTTTTGAGGTCTGTCAACTGATCGGTCCCAAGTCATCTGTAATTTGCACAATATGAAATATTTTACGAATTTATGAACTGTGAAAAAGAGAAATGAAATAAAACCAAAAAATATGTATTTTGAATAATCTGAATACGAGAATTAAAAGAATTAAATCAAATACGAGAATTATTTTTTTATCCATTACCTATTATCTCTCAGAATCAAGAGACAATGCTAAGAGAGAAAGAAAAAAGGAAGAAAAAAGTCACTGAAGCGCACAGATTTTGCCGAGATTAACCACCATCAAGCTAAACCAAATTCTTTAACTTTACTGTTGGTCACAAGGCCGACTTTACAGCCGTTCATAGCACTGATCTGAATTTTGTTTGTTTATAAAGAACACATTTCAAAGCCATAAATGGAATGGTGAAAGAAACTTAGATTAATACACCGATTGCGAATTAAATCTTTAAAAAAAGAAAAAAGGTGTAAATATTGTTTAAAGAAGTAAAATGTATTATAAACTCAACATCAAAGTATCTAAAGCAGCGACCTTCCATGTTGAATTTCAGCCAACGCAATAGTATTCCATATAACATTCTTGTTATTGGAAGTCAACACAGGATCTGTTAACTCAGGGGACTCGGAGGTCAACTTGGTCTATGAAAAGTCTGCGGTGTTTGCACCCAGCATTTCAAAACAGGGAGGAAGGAAACGAGGGGGTAGGGAAGGAAAGAGAGGAGAGAGAGAGAGAGAGAGATGGAGAGTTAGAGGAGAAGGGTGAGAGAGGAGAGAGGAGAGAGAAGAGGAGATGAGAGAAGAGATAGAAGAGAGAAAGAGGAGAGAGATGAGAGAGGGAGGTGAGAGTAGAGGGAAGTGAAGAGAACTTGGGAGCAGGGAGGAGAGGGAGAGGAAACTCGGGAGAGGAGGGGAGGGAGGGAGAGAGAGAAGAGAGAACGAATGAAGAGAGACGAGAGAGAGAGAGAGATAGAGAAGAGAGAAGAGAGGACGAGAGAGGAGAGAGAGAGAAGAGAGAGAGAAAGGGAGCTGAGAGACCAGCGCAGAGTGAGAAGAGAGGAGACAGGAGAGATGAGGAGAACAGAAAAAGAGTGAGAGCTGAGAAGAAGAGGGGAAAACAAGTTGAGAGAAGAGGGAGAAAATAAGAAGTTAGGCAAGGAAGAGAGAAAGACGCAGAGGTAGAAGTGCAAGGTGAGAGAGAGAGAACGAGATGGATGAGAAAGAGGGAGAGGAAAGGGAGAGAGACGAGAGAGAAGTAGAGCGAGAGAGAGGAGAGTGAGGAGAGCAGATGAGGGACGAGGAGAGAGGAAGGGAGCGAGAGAGGAGGAGAGATGAGAGAGAAGAGGATAGAGAGACAGGGAGAGAGCGAGAGACGGGCGGAGGGAGAAGGGAAAGCAGAAGAGCAAGCAGAAAGCAAATGACTGGAGGAGCGAGAGAAATAAAGACCGTTAAGAGAGAAAGAGAGAGAGAGGAGAGGACAGAGAGGAAGAGAGAGAGAGAAGAGAGAGAGAGAGGAAAGAGGAGAGAGAGTCAGAGAGGGAAGAGAAGAAGAGAGAGAGGAGGTGAGAGAGAGAGAGGAGGGGGGGGGGGAGAACGAGAAATAGAGACGAGAGAGAAAAAACAATGAGGAGAGAGAGGAGAAGATAATAAGAGTTAGAGAGAGAGGAGGAAGAGAGACAGAGAGATGCGGAGAAGAGAGAGAGAGAGAGAGAGAGAGAGAGAGCGAGAGAGAGAGAGAGAGAGGGAGAGGATGAGAGAAGAGTGAGGAGAGAGAGAGAGAGAGAGAGAGAATGCCAGCCAGCCAGACAACAGACAAAAAAAACGCCCACGCGACACGGGGCTGCAAAATTGATCCCCACCCCGAGGCAAGCGACGCCCGAGCCAACCAGAATCCCCAATTAGCCAAAAATCGTAATTACGGGGCGAAGCTCAATCCGCGAGCACAACCGAAGACGCCAGAGAGCTCGGCGAAGGGTGTTGGCGATCGGCGCTGGCAGTTTTTGAGGGCAATATGTCTGACGGCTTAAAGACCTAATGGGGGCTCCGGAATAATAACAATCTGGTCTGTGCTGTGATGGACGCGTCTCCGGGAGGTACATAATCAGCGGTTTACATAAAGACACAGTGTTTAATGACGGTGCTTATCCAAGTCGGTTAGCATTGGGTCGTGCCAAAAGGGTTAAAATATAGAGCGAACGAAGGCGGGGCACGCGATTATGATGAATATGAAGACGTAGAAAAAATGCTGTGGGAAAAATAAGAGAACGTTTTTTTTTCTCGGATCTGGGCTTCTTCCAGGATTATCCTAAATACGAAATTGGTTATGTAAGTATTTCATTTGAAAACAATCATGAAATGTTTATTGACCAACACTATTTGAATATCTTAATTGGATCATCCACCACAAAATACCAAAATTTAATGTCAATAACCATATAAATAATGACTTATTATGAATCAAACATTTAATTGAGTTTTTTTATTTCTGTCTGTCTATCTTTTCTCTCTCTCTCTCTCTCTCTCTCTCTCTCTCTCTCTCTCTCTCTCTCTCTCTCTCTCTTCTCGCTCTCTCTCTCTCTCTCTCTCTCTCTCTTCCCTCTATCGCTCTCGCTCTCTCTCTCCTTCTTCCCCTCCCACCCCTCATTCTCTATCTCTATCTCTACATTCTCCCTCCCCCTCCTTCTTCCTCTACATCTCCCCTCTCCCCCTTCTTCTTCTTCCTCTGCCTCCTTCTTCATAGTCTACACGAAAATAGCTACAAGCACGTTGTACTAAAATATCATCAAATGCAAATGAATCCCAAGCGCTTGGGATGCTTGCCACTCGGCGATAAGAGATCCACTGCATATGCAATCATGGGCGGATCAGTCCAGCTCTATCATATTACACTTTCAGTTGATTGTTTGACGCGCACTCCCTTTCTTATTCTGTCAATTATAATAACACGTTTCGTTTATCTAGGTGGGGATGTCCTTATAATAATACCCAATAGGATAAAACGTGTCTAAACAATCAAGCGTAGAATGCTGATAAATAGAGACACGAAGATATTCCTCGCCGCGTGATTGGTCGGATGGAGTAAAAAGAGCCGTTGGATTTCAAAAAAAAAATTCGCGGCTCTCTGATTGGTCGATGCTTGGCGGGGACGACGGCCATGCTTGCTTGTCTTATTGGCCCGCGCTCCCTGATAATGTTATTCTAATTAAGTCCGTTGCCCTTTTATTTTCTTATCGCTGCGTCAACAGTAAAAAAAAAGAGGGATTGATTTTCCCTGTTTAAAATTTTTTTCTTTGTCTCTCCCGATTTACATTAATAATCTGATTCACATTTTGATTTGTAGTATAGATAGACCCTTACACCACTACACCCCTAACGTGTGTGTTGGTTAATATGTATAATTGTGTGTTATGAGGTATGAGGTGAGTAGTATATATAGTATATAGTGTCATATACGTATATATATTAGATATATGCTATTCTATTTCATTTTTGTAAGCATTATTCTAAAGGTGTCGGTTATTATAGTCCTTATTCGGAACGGTCGTATTTTATGTACTATCATTTATCCCTATTAATTATTTATTTATATATACAGTATTTGAATTTACTGATATTAAAAAAGAAAAAAAGATATTTATAATAGACTATTACTCTATGATCATCTATACGTCTGTTTTTGAATTTTTTATGCAGTATTTAACATGCAATCTATGCAGCTTTAATAAAGTCATATCGTTCAAATCTCGTCATCCTCAATCCAAGTATACTGATCTAGGTTGGCCAATCACGATTCTTGAATAGAATATGGAGCTTTTTGTAATCTTTTTTAGTCGTAAGTTATTTTTATTCGATATTCGACCTATAACAACGCAGGCAGTTGATGTGTCATGTAGGCCCACCATACTTTGTATAAAATTATGCATAGTCTTCTATTTTTTATGTTCATCTATTATTTCCCATCATATTTCAAGCGCAATGGGGGTGGTGGTGGGGATTCGCGATATAAGGTGATAAGAGACACATAGGTAGGACGGGGCAAATGAGGGGGA